GCTCATTATACCTGAGGCCCTCTTACTAGAAGTACACACATTTATATGCAGATTAAAAATTGTGATTTTTTAATTTCTTTAACTATGTTATTAAAGAAATTAACTAAATTTACTCACCCTGTTTATTTGAAGTAATGCTTTTTTCCTTAAGAATAATTCTCTTTGATATCGAAATTGACATAAAAATTGATATGAGAAGTTATACCAGCTTTTGTTTAGTAAAAATATGTCTGATATACTTTTTCATTATTTACTTTCAATATTTATTTATTTTTATGTTTTAACTGTGTCCCTTGCAATTAGCATGGAAGTTTTAAAACTATTTTTAATTCCTTCTAACAAGTTTGAATTAACGGAAGTATTTAATCCATTTGCATTTCTTGTAATGACTTATATATGAATTTTTATCTAAAATTTTTTATTTTGTGCTTTTTTATTATCCTGCATTTATTTTCTCTTTTTCTTTATATCTGTTGGGTTCTCTCTTTCCTATTTTATATCATTTTTTCCCCCACTATTCAGTTTTTTCCTTTGACAAGTTTGGAAGATTCATATAGTATTATAATTTTTCAGCAGTTCCTTGGATAATAACAAATTCAATTATTGCCAAGGTATAGAGTTAATGTCTATACCCTCCTCTTGAGTAACACAGTAACAATACCTTAATTGCATTCATTCACTTACATCTTTATATATATATATATGTATATATTCTACTTTATTAAATATTCACACAGAATTGCTATTTTTGTTTTTTAAAATGTTTTTAAACTGTATTTTTTCAATTTAACCACTGGTTTTTCACTTTTTCTTTTCTTCCCTTCATATCAGACCTTTCTTTTAGTAATTTCTCTTCTATTTGAAAAACAACATTTTATATTTGTCCTTAATACAAGTCTGCATTAGTAAGTCTTTTGAATTTTTGCTTTATTTGTTTTGCTCTGAAGATATTTTTATTTGACCTTTGTCTTTGAAAGTTATTTCATTAGATATAGTATTCTAAATTGACAGGCTTTTTTTTTTTTTTTTAGAATTTTAAAATACATCATTCCATTCTCTTGCTTTTGTGTTGCTGTTGTCTACTGTATACACATTTATTCTTTTAAAATACTCTGTCTTTTATTTGGGTTGTTTTGTTTTGTTTTTGAGATGGAGTCTCACTCTGTTGCTCAGGCTGGAGTGCAGTTGCACAATCCTACACCTACACCTCCTAGGTTTAAGTGATTCTCCTGCTTCAACCTCCTGAGTAGCTGTGATTACGGGCATGTGCCACCATGCCCGGCTAATTTTTGTATTTTTAGTAGAGATGGAGTTTTGCCATGTTGGCCAGGCCGGTCTTGAATTCCTGACCTCAAGTGATCCTCCTGCCTCAGCTTCCCAACGTGCTGGGATTACAGGTATGAGCCACTGTGCCTGGCCTTGGAATATTTTTTAAACTCCATTTGTCTTTCACATTTTGTTCATTTGAGTTGATATATCACAATGTAATTTCTGTGTATGTTTATTGAAACATTCAGGACTATCCTTGTTATATTTATATGTCAAACTGATTGGGTTAAGGGATGCCCAGATAGTTGCTAAACATTATTTCTGGGTCTTTCTGGAAGAAATTAGGACATCAGTCAGTAAACTGAGTAAAGAAGATCAACCCTTACCTAAGAAGGCAGGCATCAACCAATCCATTGAGGTTCTGAATAGAACAAAAAGACAGAGGAAGGGCAAATTACTGCTTTCTTCTTGAACTGAACGTCCATGTTCTCCTGTCCTTAGACATCAGAGCTCCTGATTTTGGGGACTTCAGACTCTGGAACTTATGGCAGTATCCTGCTCCCTACCCGGCAATCCCCCACTGCATTGGACATGCACTGAATTATGCCACCAGCTTTTCTGGTTCTCCGGCTTGCAGATGGCTTATTGTGGGACTTCAACCTCAATAATCACGTGAACCAATTTCCATAATAAACATCTTTTCTCTATCTTTCCTTCCTTCCTTCCTTCCTTCCTTCCTTCCTTCCTTCCTTCCTTCCTTCCTTCCTTCCTTTTTTTCTTCCTTTCTTTTCTCTAGAACATTGGTTCTGTTAGCCTGAAAAATCTTGACTAATAAAAAGACTTTTTAGTCTAGATTGGTAGTTTTATAGACTGAAAAATGTGGCCCTTGACCCTAATTCCGCCTCTCGCTTACTATTTCTCTCCTTTGTTTCTGACTCTCTGATTAGATATATATGTTTGGCCTTGTAGTGAATTTCTTGAAGTTTTTTTTTTTTTAATTATGTATTTTCCATCTCATTAATTTCAATCTACCTTGTTATCTTCCATATATCTTAATTTATTGCATATACAATTATGTCTCTTTTTGCAGAAATTTAGCATATTTCTTCTCATCATTATCCAGTTGCTAAATCTCATCTAATTTGCTGTTTAAACCATTCAATATTTTAAAAATACTATTTTTAAAAGTTACAATTAACATACAGTAAAATTTACCCTTTTTGTGTAGTTTCATGAGATTTTAAAAAATGCATATAAACACAACCACCACATTAATCAAAATTTAAACAGCTCTATCATGAAAAAAAAGCTCTCATGACTTTTTGTGGATACTATTACCCATTCCCCACTCACTGACAACCATATAAATGAAATTATACAGTATTCTTTATTGATTTTTTCAATTCACATGTATTATTCATAGAGATACATTTGATTTTTTTACTTAATTAAAATATAATTGAACTTTTAGTTTTTTATTACATGAACATATTTAAGCTTTACTTTTGTCCTCAGGTATATTACACATATTTACTTTATTGTCTATCCATAATAATTCCATTATTTGGAGATTTCGTGAGTCTAATTTGTCTCTATTATTTCTACATATTCTTGTTTATGGTATGTATGTTATTGTATGTTCGATATGCTCGATACATTGTATGTTCAGTTTTACTATGCAATATTCATTTTCCTTGGAATTATATCTAATGAAACTGTTTGAGGCCTGAGACAGAAGGTGACACACTAAAGAGAATCTACATTTGCTTCTGCATATTTTTGGATTGAGATTTTCTTGAACTTCTCATTTCTTGGTAATTGGGTTGCAATATTGTATGGAAGTCGGCTGTGATTCCAAATTTTTAGTGATGATTATTTTCTCTTTTCTGTTAAGCAACAATATATAAAATGGCTGGCATAACGTCATTCTCCAGTTCGGAGAGCATGAGTTCATATATAATTCACTCTTACACTAGTTATATAGTCTTTTGAGTAAAGAAATTGGCCTTCACCAAAGAGAGGTCTGATTTTGCATTAGACTTTTTAAGGTAGGGGCGGGTCACACCAGATGTTAAGGATGGGGTGAACCATACCCCATAGTCCTAGGATGTGGACTGGCTATAACAGAAAGACCAATAATGTGACTTAAAACTGGACCGTATGTTATCATGCGGTATCCTGGTCATGTGGTATCAGTTGACCTGAAAGCTAAGATCAACCACATGGGCAATTAATCAGTGCTTCATACCTATGTAATGCGGCCCAAATAAAAGCTTTGAATATGGAAGCTGCAACGCATTGTTTTGTGTTCTCACTCCACAGAGACAGGACAGGAAAAACTCCATGTTTGGAACCCTCCTGGATTTTACCCTATGAAAGTCTTCCTTTGCCAAATTTTAATCTGTATCTTTTCTCTGTAATAAACTCTAACTGTGAGTATAATAGCTTTTAGTGTGTTCCATGAATTCTAGCAAATTATCAAGACTGAGGGTGGTTTTGTAATCCCCTGACATTGCAGTTGATATTAGAAAGGGCTAGTCATCTGTGTAGGACTGTGTGCTCAAACCCAGGCAGGGCCCTGGGTTTACTGGATGGCTGCTGTATTGCAAGGCTCTCCGCTTTGGCCGTATACTGGGTTTAGACCATTTTTACCTTCTCCCAGCAGGTTTGTGTACCAAACCTTTTGCCTTTGACAAATGCACCAGGGATGACAGGCTGCTCCAGTGCTCTGCTTTTCTCATGCCTGCCTTCACCTGGTCTCTGCCTGAATGAAGGTGTATTATGTTTTTGATGGCTTAACGATGCTTATTAGAAATTTTTGTTTGATTGATTTTACTCTTTCTTAGTCCAAATATCTAACCAACCACATTACTAGAAAGAGATGCATATTTCATTTAAAATGTTAAAACGTTTTGTTTGAGGAACTTGTAGAATAAGCAGAAATTAATAATCAGCAAACAGCTGAAAATATAAAATAAGAAAATGTGCAACTGCAGGTGAAGAAAAATTTTAGGAATGGCAATATAGAATGCAAGTGGATTTTAGAAGTATCTAGACAATTATGAAATGAAACGAGAAAGCATACATATTTGGTACAAGAAAAAAGAGTATTTAGGGAAAAAATGCCCCAAGCAATGGGGAGGACCAATATTTATGATGCAATGAAAGTCAGAGAGTTTAAAGGAAAACAAAAAATGGAGCATAGCAAGAAAGCCAAGAAAAGATAAAATTAATGGATAGAATTCATAGAAATATCTCAAATAGTAATCTGAGCTGTCCTGAAGTTATGGAGATTTTCAGTTCCATATAAGAAAATTGTTTTTAAAGAAAGGTTAAATTTATCCTCCATACATATGTGAAAGAGTAGATCAATAATTAGAATGATTGATGGAATATTTAAATCATAGTTCCACAAGCATCTGGACTCAGTAGTAAACTATTGAGATTGGCATTATAAAGGGGTTAATTTATAATGGTGAAAATATAATCTATGACATACACGGCATGACTACATAGAGACACTTAACAGTATGATGCTGAATTGGTTTTCTCACGTTGCCAAGAGCACCAGGTAAGAAAATGGGATTGATTTCTATAACATCATGTCTAGTTCTGAAATTTACCTCTCTGTTTATATAGAATACGACTTTTCATGAATTTCAAACAAACATACAAAACAGCCATATCTCCTGTGCATACATAAAAAGAAACCATGTAAAAAGTAAAGGTACTTTTAAACAGATCTTCCTGTTTTAAAATAATTATCCTTTACTTGCTGAAGTCTAATTCACATGTAGCCAAACCCATGGTTTGGCTTGATTTTTATATTGAAAGGCAAAAGGCAATTTTCAATAGTTCAGTGTGTATTCATCTGTTTACCTGGGGCTTAGGGATCATGTAAGACATGAGACATAGTCACCACCGTATTTTGTATCGTTGTTGACTTTTTTTTTCTTTGCTTTGTCCTGCTTTGGATGCACAGAGGCTTATGACAAGAATATGTCTAAGTCAATATGCTGAATATTGGCCTTTAACTTGTGCCAGCTTTTTGTCTGTCTTCCTGACTTTCAGTTACACTGACTGTACAGTTTGGACTTGCATTCTCATAATTGATTTGAGGATGAAATTAATTTTTATGAAACCTTTGGCGTGAGTATTGCCATCCTAAACTAGATGCATTTTACTGATCACAATTTGTCATCTAACACACTCTTTGTGTTTTAAGTGAGGTACATTTTATTTTTTCCATCATAAATGGCCATGATATAAATTGTATTCTACTTTGGAGAGAATGATTGAAGCTATCTCCATACATAAAGCACTTTGGCTGAAAGGTGCTGTATTCCTGAAATAGTTTTTCATTATTTATTGACTCACTACCCTATAATAATTTTTCTGAAGCAGTTTTGATCTGTTTTATAAATATTGTGTTTTCATTTTGAAAGTATTTAGCATGCTGGAAAACTTTCCACTTAAAAAATTATCATAATGGTCCTTCAAAAAGGGTTTTGTTTAAGTAGCCGGTAGTGAAACCTATTCTCTGGACTCAGGCAAACATTTGAGAACAAGTCATAGCTGTGAGCATTGTCAAAATGGTTAATAACGCCAACATCTTATACGCTAAGGGAAATGAGTGGTGACAAATTTGGGAGAAAAAAAGACAAGAGCATTATCATTCTGAAATGTAACCTTTTGCTTTAAAATGTCAAGGATAGGATGTCAAAAACAGCTTTTTACATCATCAGGAAGAGTAAGTTCATTTAAAAATCCTGTTAATGCTAGCTAAGTACATGAAGTTCAATAAATCTCTGCTGAATATATCGGCTTATGAACAATTTAGTTTGTGATATCTTAAGCCAGTCCTAGAACAGTATTTTGCACATAATAGGCACTACTAAATATTTGTGTTATGATTGAAGGAATTAAAAAACTAATCATCTACCCCATAGTCACCATTTTCAGGGTTGAACTTCCTGGATCATGTGTAAGTCCTTGAGGCCTTGGTTCTGACCTTCAATCCTCATCTGGTTCAGAGCCCTGCTAGCTGCGAAGCATACACATTTTAAGAAGGTGGAGATTTTAAGAACAGTTCAGACTTGGCTATTCAGCTTGTTCCTGCCATTCAGGTATTTTTTTTGTTATTTAGTTTTACATTTATTTATTCAAATGTCAGCTTCTTTGAGCTGACTTCCCTGACTGCTCTGAGGTAGCCAATGATATTTCAGCACTTCATCATATGTATTTTTATTTCCTTAGGGTTTAGTGTCAGCTGAAATTGTCATGCTCATTTATTTGTCTGCTTTTGTATGGTCTCTCTTCCCCATGAGAGTGTAAGTTTGCCTATTTTATCATTAACTCTCCAGAAGTGCGTTGGCGTATTGTAGGCAATGAATCAATATTTATTAAATATCTGCCTAAGTCTTTAAAATGTGTGATCACCTCTGAAGTTGCCGGGAAAATGTAAGTCATTTCCCCAGGGAAGGCACCGATTGGTATTCCTTTTTCTTCTATACAATTTGTAACTCTTGTGAGGAAGTTTCTGACAACAAAGGTAATGACATTTATTTGTTTATGTGTTTCGGTATTCCTTATGTTAATTCTAGCAATTTGCTGTAGGGAGATACTACTTGTGGACTCTATTTAAAGTGTCTTTGAGGAGTATCTAAGATTCTATCAGTTAGTGATGAGGTGGGGCTGCCCTCCCAGGCCAGAGACATGACACGCAGTTTAAATATGGAAAATATTTTGGGGTCAAAAATAATTGGTTCATTAATATGACAGTAGCAATGAGTTTAGAAATGGGGGAAATTATTTTTGACAACTATAAATTGTGACTTAGAAAACTAGAAACAGACTACTCAATATAAAGAGAAGCTGAATAATTAAGGATAAATACAATTGGGCATTTAATAAGTATTTGTCAGAATGAATGGACACTGAACTATTCCTTTTAAAAATAGCATTTCTATGTTATTCCATGTTCAAAACACTTACCACTTGAACATAGCATCACCGAGACAGATTTGCTGATTTAATTCACTCTTTAAAAATGTACTTTATATACATTTCTGTGTGATTTGTAAGAAGTATTTATCAGATTTATACTACTGCGGAGAAATATTAAATAATGATCGATCTTGAGTGAAATATTGAGAGGCCAATATTCCAAGTGTTATTGCCTTTGCTAATAATAAATGGGGTTAGAGAAGACAAACCGATTAGATGAGAGTTTACTGACATTTTAAAAAATCATTTAAATTATGTGGTGGTAATAAAGCTCTATTTTGTGTTGGCTAATGGCATATACAATAAACTGCCTAAGATGATTTTGGGTTGGTTGTAATGTAGGGTGAGTGAGATTAAAATGTTTTAAAATGACAAGTCATGGGTCATAAAAATCCCCTTGAGTTTTAACAGATTTGTTTCTTGTTAATAAATTCATATAATTGCATTTAAAAGGTTAATGGGGAGAATAATCTCACACGAGGGAGAAATTGTTAGGCTCCCAGAACATTTTCCTTGGGATCATAGTAAGTGACCTTTTTCTGAAGGTTCCACCAAAGCTATTAAAAACAAGTCAACTGTAGAGAGTGATTATCTTTTAAATTAGCCACTGATTACTAGCTAGTTTCAGGAAATGTCAGTTTTAGGAAAATAAATAGTAATTTGTTTCAATGTCTCCTACATTTTCAGGTATGTAAATGGCCTAGGGCTGTGAATATCAGCAATGTAGAACTTCTTACATACTCTACTTATTCCTCAAGAGACCGGACTCAGTTCTCAGTTTAGAAATAAGGTCATTTTTGAAATGTCATTTCTGACAAATAGCTTATAGTGAATACTTAAAATTATGATTACTGCACTTTTTGCCCTTTTAGTCATATGTGAAGAAAGAAAATTAAAATCTTTAAAAATAAAAGCATTTTTGATGATAGAAATATGAAGAGTATTAAGCAGCATAACAATATTTGTGGTAATAAATAATAGCTCCAAAAATAGTAAAGCAGTACAATATTGTTTCCAACATGTTTAATGCCTCTGTTGGCCAGGTTTATCCATACATAATCTCTTAATAATAATCTTGTAAGATAATTACCCCAATTATTGGAGTAGGAATTCTAATGACAAAGATATGCAATAGCTTGTCTTTTGTTTCACAGTTCAGATGTAGCAGAGCTAGATTTTTGACCCAGATCTCTCTCTATGCTGAGAATCGTGTTTATAAAAACCATAGTACATTCTTTGACGATGAGCCTTAGTTTGTCATCTATAAAATGTTGATAGTATCTACTTCCTAAAATATTTATACTAATGAAATAACACAAATGTATATAAATTACTAGCACAGTGTTTTCCCATAGAAAGTGTTAAATAGATATTAGTTATCTTTACTATTATTATAATTATGATAATTTTCTAATGTTTTATTTTGAAATGATCAGCTACTTAGGTTTCAAAGTTATCTCTATTTAACTTTTGCACCATTCCTTTTGAGGGGCAACTTGCTGTCATTTATTTGAAAATAAAAACTTGCCTAAATAGAGAACAAGTATTAGAGCGTTGGTGCTTCATGTTTTGTTTCTTGAGAAGTTTATATTTTCATGAAGTATATTGTAAGTTAATATATTTTTGTTGATTTCACATTAAATATGGATTATAATTAGAGATTACTATAGGCACAATGTTTGCCTTAAGAATATATGACATTTAGCCACAGGAAGCAATAACCAGTTCAGGTGCAAAACAGAAACTAGGAAGAGATGACACTCATCATTTTAAACAATTGTACTATCTCAGTAGGCTTTTGCTTGTTACTGACAAAATCTGTTCCACATGGTTTCATTTTCCTTATTTTTTCCCCACTTCTTTAGTATGTACTTTCTGTTTATCTATAGACACACTTGCAAATTTACATAATTGGTCTTTGCTTATATAAAACAAGTCAGAGTTTATAACATAGGGAAATTATTGTGTGATTTTTATATGGTCAATAAAATTCTTCGATTTACAAAGATTAATTTAAGATATTTTGGAAACTGTGAGCTCCACTAGTTTGTTTACATAATTCAACTTATGTAACACTTTAACACTGAACTATCAATCAAGCCAAGGCATCGTTATATAATCAAAATGGAAAAATAAAAGTAAAATTGTTTAATAGATTTTCTAGGAAAGTTCAGGGTACCATGAATAATGTAAATGGCACATAATTGGACTCAAGTTACTTAAAACACCAGTTCTGCTACTAATTGACTGTTCTACTTAAGAAAATCATTTAACTTCAGCTTTCTCATCTACACCATGAAGTAGTTGAATTAAATGTGTGGTATCTAAACTATGAATAAGCCCTAATATGCTTTCCAGAATTATTCAGATACCTTCCAAAGGTGCTGAGTGATGTCAAATTTGGGGATTTCCAACCATTCTTGTTAAATTCATTTAATGCAGTTCTGCTCTCATCTGATTTACTGGTGCTCTCAGAACAGTTTCATTTGTTAAGAAAGGCTTACATTGCCAGTAACATTTGAAAAAACAACTTGATTCCTAAGGTCATTTCTAACACTAAGTTTTATTTTCCATTATTCCAAATGGGAGGACTGAATCTAAAGTGCATATTAACTTTGGAAAAGTGCTTTTCGCTTTCAGAAAAGAAATATATTAGGAGCATAAAATTTGTATAACTATTTTGCAAAGTAGTTGTGAACACTAAAGGATTTTGAGGATCAGAAAAAACTGCCTTTTTGCAATTGTTCCTTCATACATACAGTATGCTTTTTCCTGGCCCTGCTTCTACCATTTGTCCACCACTGTATCAACTCATTTTAACTTACATTATGTCTCCAATATTTAGCAATTGAAAGTAAAAGAGAAAGAAAAGGAAATTAGGAAGTGACAGTGAGGTGCTAATTTGAAAGTCACAGAAATATACTGTGTGGCATTGTATGAAATTTTGAAGTTAACTATATTATTTAGCTAATATTTCTTTGTCTGCAGTGTGGCTAGGTAAAGACACTTTTAGATATTCTGTATCATTGATGAAAGACTTTAATTTTGTATGATTTCAATGCACAATAATGCTACACTGAGGAATGAACATAATGCACACACTGCGAGACTTAAGAAAATTGCTTAGACATAAGGTGGAGTTTTAGATTAGAGCACCTAGATTCCTAATAATTCCTAGACATATTTTTTTTCTGATATTCTGTATGTATTGTTACAAGACTAGCTAATGTTTACTCTTTCATTTACAGTAGCCATTTATATTTTCTATTTAGATATTATAGCCTAGTATTGGCCTATTTCTTTATTTCCTTAATTTAATTTATTTAGTTATCTATTTTGTTTTTTAAAACATTGTTTGTCTGCTATTGCTCATTTATCTAGCAACATTGTATATGTGTGTGTGCATGTAAAATAATGCACTGTTATAGAGTCATTTCCTGGGACCAAACCTGTCATTATAAAACATGTAATCTATCACTGCTAATGTTGATTTTATTTCCTTCACCAATTCTTGCTCTATCTATATGTCTTGAGAATTTACTATATGATTTTGAAAATTTAATAAGAATTACTATATCTCTGCTGCATTTGGGGGAAATGTGGGTGCCGGGAGTAGTGTTTTCATCTCCCTGTATTTCCACATCCTGACTGGTGAGGCATAGTAACTCATTGTGGTTTTGATTTGCATTTCTCTAATGATTAGTGATATGGAACAATTCTTTCTATGCTTCTTGGCAATGTGTTTGTCTTCTTCTGAGAAGGGTTTGTTCATGTCCTTTGCCTTTTTTTTTTTTTTTTTTTTTTGACGGAATCTTGCTCTGTCACCCAGGCTGGAGTGCAGTGGTACACTGCAACCTCTGCCTCCCGGATCTAAGGGATTCTCTTGCCTCAGCCTCTGGAGTAGCTGAGACTACAGGCGTGTGCCACCATGCCAGGCACATTTTTGTATTTTTAGTAGAGACTGGGTTTCACCATGTTGGTCAGGCTGGTCTCGAACTTGTGACCTCAGGTGATCCATCTGCCTCGGCCTCTCAAAGTGCTGGGATTGCAGGTGTGAGCCACTGTGCCCAGCCTCCCATTTTTTAATGTTTTGTTTTGTTTTTTGCTTGTTGATTTGTTT